GCACCTTAGCTCAAGCCTGAGGGGGGAACCTCAGGATGATGACCTCCTGTCTAATGGCTTCAGCCAGTGTCTCAGGTCTCCTCAGCTAGGTACCTCTCCTCTATGGGAGCCCTGAGTTAAAAGGATACACATTTTAATAGAAGGACCCTAAACCTCACTGATTTCTGAAGTCCCCATAACTTTACATTGGTAATTTGGGGGTTGGGGGTAGGGGTGTGCCCTTGCTCTTTTAATTCTCCCAGAAGGCACAGGAAGGAGGGAGATTAAGGGCACTGGGACCAGACTCCGTGCTCTCTCCCTTTTCCTGGGCCAAACCCTGGATACCTCTGACACTCACATCCCCCACCTCCCCCATCTGTTGGGAAGTTAATGAGTTTACTGTGTAAACATCCTCACAGGCAGCTTCCTGCTGCTCCCCTCTAAGACAACAGCTTTCACTCCAGTGCAATGAAACGCAGCCCCAGCTCCCACCCACCCCACCTTCCTACTCTCCCAGCTGGGGCCCTTCCTGGATCAGAGGGGCCATTTCCTGGGTTGGAAGGCTCCTTTTAGGATCTGGGGGAGGTCCCAGGTCTGCTCACCCCCTTCCTTAGTCAGAAACCCTAAACATGGAGGGACAGGGAGACCCAAAGACCTAGTCTCTGCCATATAAGTAATACCTACTCTATTCTGCCTTGAATCCTTCCCTATTCCTACTCACCGGTACCCAGGCTCTTTCCCGTAATCTTCCAATTGCCCACGGAGCACAAGAGGGGATGTCGAGGAAGGCTGTATTCCAGGGGCTTTCATCACGGGGCTTTGGGGAGGTGCAGGGAAGGGAGAGGGGCCCGTGATTCCTCAGCAAAGGACACAGACCAGCCTCTATTTTTATTCTTTCTTTTTTTCCTACCCCTTATTTTCAAAAGAGTCAGCTAATACCCTGCTCTCCAGTTTCCTTATTTCAACATAAGAGCTTACAATCTTTCTCTACTCTTTCACTCAGCGGAAATTCTTTTCTCCTTTCCTTCAAGAGTATTTGCATTTGGTGTAATGGGAAAGGACCCTGGCTGGGGGAACCAGATTTGAAGCCCATCCGTCTGGCTTATTCCCTGTGCCACTTTTGGCAAGACAATTCACCCTCTTTGGGCCTCAGTTTCCTCATTTGTAAAATGCAAGGCTTGAGATCCCTTTTAGATCAATGAGGCCCTGGGGAGAAGAGGAGAGAGACTTCTCAATAGGATCCCTAGATGCCATATAGTTATTTTACAGATAGGGAACCTGAGAACTGGAAAGGATAAGTCATAATAACAGCTAGCATTTATATAGACCCCTAAGGTTTGCAGAGTCAGTATGACCTAGCGGATAAATAACAGGCCTTGAAGTTACAAAGAGAATGTCTTCCTCTGACACTTACTGGCTGTATGACCATGGACAAGGCACCTAATCTCCCAGTGGCCCTAGCAACTCTCTAAGACACTAAGTTGCAAAGAAGGTGCCAATCTTCATCAGTAGAAGGAGTTTCCTCCCCTAAGAGGTCCCCATCCAATGACATCACAGGTCTATTAAAGCTTTGGAAGCACTTTATATATGTTGCCTCACCTTCACGACAGCCTGTTGTAATAATAAGGTGCTATGATAACAGAGTACCTACCTTGCCGGGTTGTTGTGAGGATCAAACGAGATAATATTTATTTATTTATTTTTAAAAGCACTTAGCACAGTGCCTGGCACATAACAGGTACTATACAAGTGCTTGCTCCCTTACTATTCCCATTTTACAAATGAGAAAACTAAGGACTGGAGTGGGAAAGCAAAAATAGTGCTATGTTATGTTTATATTGGACTTTCATACCTCACAATAACCCCGTGAGGTATCAGAGCAGGTATTCTTTCACCCAATTTCCCAGATGGGGAAACTGAGTCCCAGAAATGTTTTGCCCAAGGGTATATAGCTAGTTAGTGGCAGAGCTGGGATCCAATTGTCCTTATTGTCAGTTTGATGCTGTGTTTACTATGCCAAGGTTTCTCTTCCTTCCCTCAGATATCACCCCCTGCTACACCTCCCCATCTCTGAACCCGAAGGCTTCTCCCAACAACCCTGTCTGATCATACCCAGGTGAGATTCTGTGCTACCCCAGAATGAAAGCTCCTTAGCCTGAACTTCTCCCTTGTCACAGCCCCTGGACCTGGTGCCCCTTTCCACTGGGACTGGGCTATGAACCAACCAAGCAGCTGGGGGTGAAGGACTGAATGGGGAGCTGAAAGTCTTCTGCTGAGTTTATTTAGAAGAAAGTTACAATTCAGGGGCAGAGCCAGGAGCCTCCCCACCTTCCTATCCCTGCTGAGAAGGTAGTTGGTGCCTGTGAGCAGCAAGGTGAATCCCCACCCCCTCAACCTTTTCCATTCTTCCCCCCGGTTGTGCTTGGAAGCTAGGATCAAAGCTGGTCATCTTAAGGGGAGTAGATTGAGAGAGAGTGAGAAGTGCAAAGGATCTAAGAATTCAGCTAATCCAGGCATATCCCTGAGAATCCATGGGGAAAGAAAGCGAAGAGAACATTTTTTCTTCCAGGTTGTCCAAGGAGCAGCAGGATCCAGAGTCTCTGGAAATCCTTGCCTAATACGGAGCTCATCCTGGAGAGACCGTCCCACCCCTTATAGTGAGAAGAGACCTCATTCAGAAGACAGTACGAAAGAGCACTACTAGGGACTGGCTGGGCACCTGGATGACTGGCTCCTCTTTGGGTTCCAAGGGAGCCCAAAGGTACAGTGGCCAGCGCATTGAACTGGAAATCAGGAAGCTCTGGATCTGAATCCCAACTCGGACCCTTAACAGCTATCTGGTCCTGGATAAGTCACTCTGCTACTTATTACCTTCATGCCCTAGGCCACCAAGTCACTTCATCTCTCTGAGCCTCAGTTTCCCAATCTATAAAGTGGGGATAATAACAGTACCTACCTCACAGGTGTGTTGTCAGGATTTAATGAGATAACATAAGAAAAGCATTTTGCAGACCTCAAAGGGCTATATAAATGCCAGCTGTTATTACTAATCACAAGCCAGAGAGGCCACGAATCCCGCTTGTGTTTCTCAGAGTTGTGTCAGACATCAATTGATTTACAGTATGGAGCTAGTCTGCTTTGCTTCTTTTTCTCATTAGCAGAAGACCATCTCATAGACTTAAAACTGGAAGGGGCCTTAGAAATAATATGATTTGACTTCTCCTCCCCTTTCATTTTGCAGATGGGAAAACTGAGGCATAGGGAGATGAAGTGACTTGCCTGAGGTCATTCAAGTGGTAACAGAACTAAGAATAAAACTCTGATCCCCTGACTTAATAGCCAGTCCTCTGCCACATATTCCTCTGCAAATTCATTCATTCATTCATTCGTTCGTTCATTCATTCATTCATTCATGCATTCATTCATTCATTCATGCATTCAGCTAACATTCATTGAGGACCTATGCTGGTGCTGTGCAGGCAATCGAAGGTGTATAAGGCATAATCCCCACCCTCAAGGAGCTTACTGTCTGATGAGGCATTTACAATCTGGCCAGTACCCTATTACCAACCTCACCTTTCCCTTCCCTAACAAGGGACAATTTCTCCTGTTGGGAGGAGGTGCAGGGTGGGATTCCCCCCCCCCCAAGATGCCAGGGTATTGAGCTCTCTACTTTTTCTGGAAAAGTTCTCAGAGTCCACTTGCTGGCTTGGTACCTAGGGTAGTTGGGTCCTGAGAAAGGCCTGGGTGGGCCTGGAGGACCCAGGGGAACTTGGCCCCTGGATGAATTAACCTGCAGGGATCTTGTCTGGACCTATTTCCAAGCCACAGGCAGACCTCCAAGCCACGCAGGGTCCTGAAATTTCAACTGGGCAGGTCCCTCCAAAGCCAAATATTTTCTCCCGTGACTGAGCTCACGCCCTGCCCCCATCCCCCTCCACTCACCATCAGGGCCTTAGGGCCGAGCCAGCTAGAGGGAGGACACATTTCCTTGGGGAGGGGAAGAGAGAACGCCAGCGTTCTCTGCCCACTGTCATCCTTTTCTTACAAAGGGGTGTGCAGGGCTGGTCCCTGAGCTCTGTCCTGGAGGTCTTTCTTGTTATTCTGCCCTGGGTTGGTGAGGAGTCGGCACGCAACATCTCCCGAGCGACTGGTCTGGCATTGATCCAGGTTGTGTCCCCGAAGGGGTGCCAGGCTCAGCCTTTCTCTGGCTTTCAGCAGACTACCCCCTCCCACCTCCCTCCAAGATCAGACTGTGCCTTTTGCTCTGGGGACAAAAAGGGGGAGATAGGGTGGGGACAGGGGTGGAGTGGGGGGAGGGAAGGGGAATCATCCGAGCTTCTTTCCTCGGGTCAGAACGGCCCTATTGCCACGAGAGACCTTCTCCCCACCCCTCCCTCGGAAGCTCCGGAGTCCCCGGAGCTAGGTAGAAATGCAACCTCAGACGGCACCCCCGGGGTTAGAGCTGGATCCCGGGCAGCGGTTAGATCTCAACCTCTTGAAGTCGGGTTCCCAGGCCAGTTGGCCTTGAAAGGAAACCAGGTTCCAAGTGGGGGGAGGTGAGGGAGAGGGTCACAACTGCCCCCTCCCAGGGCGGACCACTGTTTCCACTGCCAGCATCCACCCCCTCCGCGACGGGCCAAGGGGCTGAAGTGGGTAACATGTCACTGAAAGAGGCTAAGCGCCAGCGAGTTGACCCCGAGGGTGGCTCTGGGCTCTGGTACTGCTTCCCTCCTACCCTAGCCTCCTTCCCTGGGTCACCTCATTTTTCCACTCGGGCTATAAATGCTACTCCCACCCGTCCTGCCCCTCCCTCCAGGAGGCTGGCCCCCGCACAGGTCGCAGCTGCTGTACCCCGGGGGGCGCCAGACGGCGCCAGGGGGTTAGAGCTGGGTCCTCTGCCTGCCTCCGTGGTGTGCGTGTGTGTGTGTGTGTGTGTGTGTGTGTGTGTGTGTGCGCGCGCGCGCTCAGCAGCGGGGGAGACGAGTGGCCGCGGGGCGCAGACCCCTTGCCTTCCTTACCGCATTGCTCAGGAAATCCGCCTCGTTCAGATCTCCCAGGTCCAGAAAGCTGGAGCCTGGGAAGAGCCTGTCTGCTGGGAAGGGTTCTAATACGGCGTCCATGGTGTCTGGCTTCGGGGGCCCCCGGGAGGTGATGCGGACAGAACACCCCCTTTCCTGCCCGGCTCAGTCAGTCCAGCGCTGCGGCGCGTCCAGGCCACCAAGCTCGCCTTCAGGCTGGCAGCTCTCCAGCAAGCACCCGGCAACCTTGGGGTCTCGTCTGGCTGGGGGCGACGGCGACAGCGGTGCAGCCGGAGTGTGGGCTCAGGGCGCTGAAGCCGGGAGGCTCAGGGCATCCGCGAGCCGCCGGCAGGGCAGCGGGGCTCCCGGCGCACGGTGGGCATCTCTCCTCCACCCCGGGCAAAGCTAGGCTCCATGAGGAGCAGCTGGGGCCGGAGACGTGGGGGCTCCCGCCCCTCCCAGGGGCTGGGCGGGAGCCGGGAACGGGGGAGCTGCGGACTCCCCCGGGACTGGGTGGGAGCCGAGCTCCAGCTCTCTCCTCTCCAGCTCCCTCGGTGCGTTTCTCCCCTCCGCACTCTACTGTCACTTTCCCAGTCTCCGAAGCCGGGAAACCCAAGCTCCGCCAGCCTGGCTCGGTTGCCACGCCCCCACCTCCTCAATATTCAGGAACCTTCTTCGTAGTAATAAGATTGGGGGTGTGCCTTATCTCCCAGACCCATCCCTTAAAGAGGCAGCAACGCGTCGAAGACCAACCCTTCCATTCCTTTTCTCTGCGCGCAGAATGCTTGCCCTCGAACGAGGGCAATGATTAATGATGACTTGAGACGCTGTGGTACTCGAAGGGAAATCAGTATCAGGCACTGGACAGAGGGTTCAGCTAAGAACTCCTTCAGCTAAGGAGTCCTCAGCAGGTGGCCACAGACCCTCAGCTTCTTCGTTGCCGTGCCAGCCTCCCTCCCCTGGCACTAATTGGCAAGTGCCAGGCATTTCCATTCCAGCTGTTTTATGATAACAGCAGTAGAAAGGAACCGAGTTAGAAAATTCCAGGTCATTGTTCCTTCACCAAACAGGATATGTCTATATCCTGCCTAACATAATGCCTTGCACATAGTAGGGACTCAGATTCTGTTCAACTGCACAAAATCTTTTCACCAGCACTACTTTAGCCGGTCCTAGATGTAGTTCATGGCATCGTAGGTTTGTCATGGGGAAAAAAAAAAATAAAACAAAAAACCAAACAAGAGGTTTTTCAGTCCAGTCTGTCATTTCGCCAAAAAGGAAACTGAGGCACAGGGAAGGGAAATGATTTGCCCAAGAGCCTAGGTCCTGTGACTGGGGGCTAGGGAATGGGTAGCGTAGGCAGGGAGGTGGCTCAGTGGATAGGCCACTGGGCCTGGCATCAGGAATATTTGAGTTCAAATCCAACCTCAGACACCAGTTATGTGACCCCTGGGTAAGTCACAACCTCTGTTTGCCTTAATCCACTGGAGCAGGAAATGGCAAACCACTCCACTATCTTTGCACAGAGTCATGAAGAATCAGACATCATTGAGTGAGAAGCAGAGGCTGAAGACAGAGAAAAGAGATTGAATTCAATTTGATTCAGCATTTACTGAACGCCTACTGTGTTCAAGGTTCTCTGCCAGGCGGGGGAGAAATGGATTGTGTTCTAGTTGTTGAAGGAACAGTGACATGGAATTCCTCGCCTCCAAATGCTCTTTCTAAGGTCGCTTCTCGTTTTAAGGAGAGGCAGCACGGATTTATGATTCCTTTTGGAAAACCAGGGCTGCGTTTGGACGTCCAAAGTCTGTGGCCTTGGGCAAATCAGCTCATCTCTAAAGCTCCTTTTCTCATCTGGAGACAAAGAACAGCAGTATCCTACTGAACAGGGAGAGTGCTGGACTTAGAATCGGGAAGGCTGGGTTCAAATCTCACTCCAGACACTTCTTACTGACTGTTACTTTACTGGGAAATAGAAGGGCTAACATTTGCAGCGACTGCCTCACAAGAGTTGTCCTGAATATCAAAGGATAATCATGGGTGGAAAAAAAATCTCTGTAACCTGCATGGAGGGCCTGTCTTTGCTGGTGAAAGCACCTCCCAGGAAGTCCTGGAAGGGACATCGAAGGTCACCTAAACTATTTTAGAGATGAGGGTACTGAGACTCAGAAATGACAAGAATTGCTTAACACAATCACATAGAAATAACACCGTAACACATAGAGGGTTTGGAATAAATGTTGATTGATTGACCAAAGGACAAGGAAGTCCTTTCTTGGCATTTCTGCCTTGGCCCTCAGAATTTCGCCACCTTCCCCTGCATTTAGCCAGTTCCCCAGAACTAGCTGGGGGACATTCTAATTCATAAAACAGCAAACCCACCTGGAGAAGTCACTCCGCAATCAGCTGACAACCCCCCCCCCCCCCCCCCCCCTGGTGGTGAAAAAACAGGAAGAGAGAAAACAATAG